ATACGCAAGAAAATCGCGTTTTGAAATTTTCAAGTATTAAAACAAGATCATCTTTTAATTGCACTTTCTTTTTTTATTAATTCCTTGTATGTAAAAGCAGTATTGTTGTGAAAATATAAAAAATATACAGTCGTAAGATCGGATGATTTCATAATTTCCCCTACCACTGTACGAATAGCGTGATCTAAGGTACAAAGTAATGTTACTTTTTCAACGAAATACTTTACATTTATAATATTCATGTATGTATGGCTTTATGACATAAATATATAATTAGATGAATGAATAAAAGGTGAACATTTTTTTAAACAACATAAGCACGTTTCCAAAATTTTAAAAATAAACGATAAGTGCGCCATTGGCATTTTCCCTGCCACACTTTCCAATAGTCACCTTCACCTTTGATCGTATGCATGCTAGGAGTAACATCGTTCATTTAAAATTTGTATTTACTCACCTTGAAAATCACCGGTATCGGCGACAATTGTTGTGATTTCCTTTAACTGCGTTAACGAGCTCGTCATCTTGGCTTTCTTCGTTTGAGTCTCGCTCATTCTTATCGATACTTTTATATACCGACCGGAGATCGAAATTCCTACTTCTTACACTGGAATGATCAGCGTTCACAATACTTTACAGGATTGCCAACTTGCATGGAACTATCATTTGTTTCCCTCCCACACTACTTATGTTATGTAACTCATAATCGATTTTTTTTATTGAATTCGATATAATTTAGAAATTTAAATATAAATTATCTTAATTAAAATCCTATTGTTTCGTATATTTAATTCTATACTAGCGTTTATGTATGTATATATTATTTATTAACAAGTTTCATAAATAATTTGAATATTTAAAATCGGCACTTGTTGCATGTGGTATATGTATATAAAGATATGAGATGTGTTAATTTTCTCGAAATGAATTAATGTAAATTGTATTTTTAAATGATAAATATATTTCTATAATTTGCGTATATATCATAACTCGTGTTTATTCAATTTAAGTACAATGAAAATTTATATGTATTCTAATTATGTATTGCGTTATTTTAATACATGTGTGTACTTATAATCCACAATCAAAGATAGTAACAATGTACAAAAATATATCAATTAAGAACAATTTTATTTTTTTTATATGCACTTTAATAAGAATTATCTAGATTAATTTTCTGTTAATATATTTTAGTACTCAAGATATATTTTAATAAGAATATTTCTATATACTAGTATATGTAAATAACTTGTTGATTTGATATAAAAATGTGTTCACACAGTTTTCAAGTAACTTTTGCGCAAAATACAATTTATTCGAATATTTAATATATTTACATTCTCAACAGGTGACCCATTACTAGGTATTATATTACTTTTATATGAAAACATGACCTATTAATGAGTCACGTTATTATTCATGATTAATATTTAGAAATACATTAGAACTTTTATAGAGGACGTATAACAAAATACTGATAAAGTAAGTGATATGATATACATGCTAATGTTTTAACCGTTGATCGCCTTTTTAGATCGAAAAAAGTATTAAATTATACTCTTGCGTGAATACGTTAAAATATTTGTTGCATTGAACAATATCACGTTTATCTTACAGGTAAGTTTAGTTTAACTTGCATCAAACTTTTCAATTAGAGAATGCTTATCAATGAATGTAGGTTTTGGTTGATGTCCATACATAAAAATTGAACATATTACTAAAACAGCACCCAAAGAAAATTGGAAAGTTAATTGGAAATCAAAAATGTATATAGAAGCTATACAAGAAATTATAATGGCTAAAGATGTAGCAAAACCTTTAAGTATATTATCTGCATATTTAACCACCATTGCAACAATAAGACCTCCACCTGCTTGAAGTACAATTAAATAACAAACAAACGCATCATAACCAAAGAAGAAACCTCGATTTTGTAAAGTTTTTCCATCATTTACAAAACATGTAATTAATCCAAAGGGTAATGACAATAAACTTAACTGGACGTTTCTCATCCATACTGATATATCTGAATCTTTCAGTATTTTCTCAAAATATATCCCAGCAAAACCTGATAGAAAACACGCACTTAAAGCAGCTGAGAATCCAAGTAAATGATTTTGCTCTATGCCAGATGGCAAAGTAGTATCTGAACTTTGAACTAATTGTACTAGTACTATTCCTATGACTAGTAATATTAGAGCACCCCACTGAGTACTTCTTAAAGATTTTCTGAGTATTACTACAGCAAAGAAAGCTGTAGTCAAGATTTTGAGTTGGTATGTTACCTAAGAAATAATATAAGAAGTATGTATGTATATATGTAAAAATCATCAATATTAACACTAATAAGTAAAGAATATTAAAAGTACATTATATTGCATATACCTGATAAGTTGCTGCATCTAAATTAGATGCTGATACATATAAAAGATTATTTTGTACAATGTACAAAAGTGATGGCACAGATACTTTTAAAGTATCAATAGGTTCTTTTATAATTGTTAATTTTAAAGAATTAAAAAATGCTGAGAAGCTGCCTTCTTCAATAAAAACTAGTATCAAACATGTTAAAAGTTTAACAACTTCTGCCATAACAACAGCTAAGGAAAGTGTTTAATTATTAGAAATTAATAATGATATATAATTATAGTAAAAGTGATAAATAAAATAGAAATATTAGTTTATGAAAATGTACCAGTTGATGAAAGAAACATATCTCCTGACCTTGTACGTGCATAACGCATACTAAGTCCAACCAAGGCATTTTGCAATGTAAGTGTAACTAAACTAATGTATTTTAATGCTTGACCACTTCCTGTAAAATAAATTTGCAAATAAAATATAAGGAAAATGATCATGTAATGAATATATATGTGTATGTACACATTATACTTCTAATTTTAATGTATATACTTATAAAATTATATATTTACT